AATGGTCTCAACAGAACAGAAAGATTACGAACACCTTGGGAAAGGAGGTTGTATGTTACCCTGAAATGTTCGTAACTCTGAACAAAACGTTACGGTTGTTTTCAAAAGTTTACAACTGAACAATGACTTAATACAGGTTAGAAACTTTACTATGAAAAAAATGCTGCTTTCCTTTTTTTAGTAGTTTACATTTAACAGTACTGTGCTTTTTTTTGGGTCTGCTGCCTGATTGTGTACATCTGGTTCCAAATGACGCATGTGGTGAACTGCTAAGTTCGTAACTGTGGTGATCGTAACTCTGAGGTTCACGCTGCAGGGAGAGTATGAATTGATGCGGACAATCTGGCTAGGTTACTGACCAGTATCTCTGCTTTAGTTTTTGGTTTAGATTGCAAAGAAGATTGTGATAAGACCACTTGGCAGATCTATTGCTTCAAATCAGCATTTCCTAGACGTGAAAACTGAGCCTCCCCTTCAAGAAAATGAAAACAATCCATCCCTCTTTAACCCTGCCAAGTGTTGGTAAAGGCTTAGCCCCAGATGAGTGGAGACAGATTGTGCCATTTTCACAGCAGTACTTCCTTTCTTGTAGGCCTTGTGGCTAGATCACTAGATTAACTCAGGAGACCAGAGTTCTATTCCTGGCTCAGCCACCTTGGGCAAGCCACTTCACCTATGCCTCGGTTTCCCCATCTGTAAAATGGGGATAATGATATTAACTGCTTTGAGATCTACTGATGTAAAGTGCTCTAAAATCTAGGTGTTTTATGCTTTGAGTAATGAAAGTTTACAGTGGTGACATCTGAGTCTGTACCCACTGAAACAAATGGGGCAATTCACAATTTGATTATTGTATCGAACCCCCTGCAAACTCAAGATGGATAGGACTACAGTTAACCTTGAAAGTGTGACTGAAATGTCTCTTTACAACTCTGACAGCTAAAAATCTTGCTTTTTTTTTTTTTTATTAAAGTGAAAGCTGAAACTGTGGAGAAAAATTAAGAGTCCTATCTATAGCCCTGGCTAATCATTCATGCCTCTCACTTGTAAACAGTGCCTTAAACGAATCCAGAAACGTATTGGGTGCAGAATGTGGCAGTCTACCGGAGTGGAGGAACACCACTGAGTAACACCAAGTGACAGCTCACACCACTGCTTCCTATTGGTTTCCAGTCTGAACCTCAATTGTTTACCTACAAAGACCTAAATGATTTGGGATGTTGCAATCAGCTAAGCTCCCTGGGTCCAAAATAACTCATGTCTGTTGGCCTTCACGGCATGCTGCAAGAAGTGCACCTATTCCTATGGACTGCTACAGATGGTGGGGCTTGAACTGCCTCAGGCAGGGAAATGATAAATTAGGTTTTATAGGGGGTTATATTATGTTGTCTGTCAAGGTTGGGGGGGTAAACTGCTGTTGTATTATTCATTTTGTATCTTGCATCAGGAATGCCCTTTTAGAAGAAATCCAATCCAATACAAATCAGATAAGAATCTGTCCTGCTTTCATCCACTGTAGGCAGTTCTGCTGTAGTGAATATGAGGAGCATTGAATCTTTTAAAAAGCACCAGACTTATTTTTCTTGTAAATAAGGAAGAGATAGGAATATTGGCATGCTTTTAGCAAATCTACCTTCCTAAAAATAGTAACAAAATGGATGATATTCATTAGTGTTGACTTGTAATGCATTAGAAACACAGGGGAAGCAGAGAAGTCAATGTTCCCCAAAGCAAGGGGAATAAAATTAAGAAAAATATTGTTTTGAAGCTTAAGAAGCTTTAAAGTTTATGAATATGAAAAGTCATGTTAGTTTTAACTTTTCCTTTAAATGCTGCTGACTGTACCTCAATTTTTTTTAGGTCATTAGCCTACCTTGTGTGATTGGCAAGTAAATTTGCCACCTCAGATAAGGCACATGTAGGGTGACAGTTTTCAGACCTGCCCTATAAAGCTATCCTCCTCCTGTCCCTGAAACTAATCAGTTATCAAACCAAGAACGGTCATGTACTTTACAGTCCCAAATTACAAAGCTCCATTTAACTGAAACTTAAATAAGTTCTTTCATGATCCCTGAGGTTATATCATACCCATGAATAGATATGGACTAGATCTGAAAGAGCCACTTTCCAACTAGCATGGCCCCAATAGAGTTAGCTGGCATCTGCACCACTGGAGGACAAACTTCCCTCCATTTTCCTAAATGTTTCCTTGCAACATTCAGCGAACTGGATTATATCATTATCACAAGAGTCTCAGTGGGGTAACCACCACCACATCCCAGTACTCATAGGTTTTGTTTGCAATCAAGAGTGAAGAGGTGTCAGAGACCATGCAGAGCAAAGACACAAAGTACAGGAGACACTACCATTACTCTAAGAAATAGCACTACCAATACTCTAAGCAACAGCTACAGTTTTATTTAATGAAGACTGCAATCTCCCTGCCACCATTAGGTATTTTTTTACATGGGTAACTATTGACGTTTGTTAGCACCATGAAACTGAAAACCTATACATGATGTCAACACGTCTGGCAGTGTTTGATCAAGATCCCTTTTGAGGAACAGCCAAATGTGAAGTTTGAAAGTCTTGTTTCAATTTTTAAAAGACTGAAAAAATATGTATCTTCATTTATTTCTACAGCAGTATCAGGCAAACAGATTTGCACCCCACCCATCATGCTCTCTATTTTCAATTCTACATGGAAGTCTCCCACTCTCCAATACTCAGAGGGAATGGAAAACAATGGGATAGATGCAGGGCCGTTATAGCCCACTTGGGAATATCCCCAGGACACGGGTAAGTCTACCAAATGTTAGAGCCACTTTAGAAATGGCCCAGACTTAGGGAAGTGCAAAGATGGCAAAGACACCTTCTTATCTCCCAACCCCCTTCACATAAGCGGCACCTTCTGTTACCTGTCAAGAGTCACAGCACAGAACCTTGCCCATGCGCTTTTAATCAATCCTACCACTTCTAGTCCAATCCCCATTTGAGTTTCTTATTTTAGATCCTTTGCATACGCAGTGCTAGAGCATCATATTTACAATAGATTGTTACCTGACAAAATGCATATAGCTAGAGAGTGCAGCTGCCTTTTTTAATCCGATGCTTTGGATTTAATTATGAGACCATTGTTCTTTTAGCCTCTCAGATTTTGGTCAGTTTGATGGTATTGACAGGTTACTGTTAGATCACGGACAGAGTATCAGAAGATAAGCATATTGAGACAGTTCTGGTACAGCAGAAGCCATTGAAAACTCACCCTTTGCCAACCACAAATACAAAATTACCATAGAAACATACTAAAGTACTGGGTTAACACTGGTATCTCAGATACCAAACCGTGAAAAATGGTTGACAAATGCGCACAATGGCTGTCATTGCATTTTTCAAGAAGTGTTTCCCCTTTGTCCTATAAAGCTTTAACTTTCAGATGTTTTGGAATTAGCCACTGTAAGGGGCTTCCAAAAGTGTTCGTGTTTTCCCTCCCGCCTCCCAAAGAACTCAAACCAGATAACTGGATTTAATTAGCATTTAAAAAAAAATCTTTGGGTTGAAACCAAGCTGGAAAGTTTCAGGTCAAGAGACTTTTTGGAGGAAGCTGCAATTGTCATTACATTCATTCATTATCTGCCACTATGACAAAGACCAAATCTCTCTCGACCCAAAAATGAGCATTAACCCAACACAACTTAGTTTATTTTCCTCCCTACTACCACCCCACACTCTTAGAAGAGAAACTTGCACATCTCTCTGCAAGTTTACCACCTGCTATTACAACACCTAATATTATTGTAACTGAAACACACTTTTTTCAGTCCATTCAATAGCCCTCTGTATAGTCAGTTTCCTCCTGTTTGTATGGGTCTTTCACACAGAAATGGGAGATTTAAAGGGGAAAATGCAATTGTAAAGTGACAAAAGTTGGCATGGGAATGCAAGGGAGAGTATAGTGCCATAAGATATTTTAAACTAATTTTGTAACAAATGAATGGTTTTCAAGTTGACAGTCTCAGTGCCATTTGTGCTCCCATGGCCCCAACATAACTCACCAACTGTGAGTGTGACACACATACAGCCTGCTGGTTAAAACAACTACACATCACACTTAGTGCTCTGGTCATCTACAGTGCTATCCATGGAGGCAACAATTTAGCCATTGTAGAGGATGCCTCCCCAGCCCCCAAATTGCCCCCACCTTGTTACATTTCTCCACAAAGTTGTAAGCCATCCCACTCCCCTACACCAACTCTGTTGTACTCTTCCCTGCTTGGAGGCTTCCCATTATACAGATCCGCAAAAGGACTATGCATCCTGACCCCCAGCCTGGCTTATCTAAGAGGGATATTCATATAAAACAGCTGAAGTTATAGCACTTATGAGCTTGCTGCCTAGTAAAAAAATACATTGCCTGTAAGAGGGATTACATGGGCTGCCCCTGGAAGATGAGGTCTCTTATTTAAATCTGGAAAGGGCATACAGAAGCTATAGCACACCTTGTGAGGAACAGAGAGGCGATTCCTCTCCTAGAGGGCCCTCGGAGAAAGAGCTTGCATGGGGGAAAAACTTCCTGTGTCCTGCAAAACCTTTCCCACAACAATGAAGCCTTCAGAAGCAAGGTACTGCATTTTTAACATGAAGCCATCAGTATTCCATACCACTGAAAACTGACCCCAGCCCAAACTTTCTAATGCTAGGAAAAGAAGAGGGATTTCCACCGAATATCCTAGGAAACGCCGCACAAAAAACTCTGTGAGGAGACTGTGATGGCCAACTGGGGGCAGAGTGAGGCCTAACCTTAACTCTGCCCCCGCGATCCCACCGCCCTACCCTTAACTCTGCCCCCACGATCCCACTGCCCTACCCTTAACTCTGCACCCCCCCCCGCCCCCCGCCCCCACCGCCCTACCCTTAACTCTGCCCCCGGCCCCCGCGATCGGACTAGCCTTCTGCGCCCCCCACGGCCGGCCCCGGGGGCGAGCCCGCCCCCCACGCACCTTGTTGTTGTACTCCTCCACGAAGCTGCCGAGCGCCAGGCGGAAGCGCTTGTCGGGCCGGACGCTCCAGTTCATGGCGTACACGGTCCAGGGCGCCTCGTACTTGTAGATCTCCTTCCGCTTCCCGTGCAGCGACATGGCGGGGCCGGGGGGCGCGGGCGGGGGCCACGGGCAGCCGGCGCGGGGCCAAGGGCCCAGGTGAGGCGCGCGCGGGGCGGGGGGGGGTGTCTCGCTCCGAGCGAGGCCTGAGAGACGCCGAGCGGGGCCTACGGAAGCCGAGGGCAGATGGGCCGAGCGGGGGACGCGGGTGGACGGCGCCGCCGGCTCCTGGCCCCGAGTCCCGGCTTCCAAACCCGGAGGCCCTGCGAGCCGCGGCGGAGGCCGTTTGGGATTCGGCCCCTCACACAACAGGAGCGGAAACCACGCGGGCTGCCCCGCCCGCTGCGCGTCCATTGGCTGAGTCGACCGCCACTCAGGGCATCCCGTACAGCCGTTGGGTGGGAAACCTGCCAGTCAGAAGCGTTCCGGTCTCTTATTGGCCACTGCACCGCTCATTCTAAGCAGGCGCGCGCCGCGTTAGTAGAATCATCTGCCACTCCGTTCGTTCCCGCCCCAGAAGGATGGGATGCTCTTTCTCTACATCTCATTGGCTGCGATGGGTCGCAGTGGCCTCGCCCCTTCATGAGGCGGGACCGTCTAGCTCCCTGTCCTCCTATTGGCTGGACAAAAGTGTCAGTCAGGGGTGAGCTGTTGGGCAGTAGGCGGGGTTTGGGGCCCGGCAGGGGTTAGCAGGGCAATTTGAGCCTTAGCTTTAGACGTATCCTGCAGTGAGAGGGGTTCGAATCCCAGCTCCGACAACTAGGGGCGCTGTAAACACCCTGGGCCAGATCCGGCTCCTCTAAGGAGCTCAGCTCCCATTTAAGCAGTAATATAAGGGCAAGATTTTCAGCTGTGCCAAGCAGCCCATCTGCTGAGCAATTTTGAAAACCATGCCCCAGGTCAACCCTTGTAGGTTTATTCAAAGGGCGGGTGAGGCAGCATGTCGCTGCTGGGCTGTGGGAGGAAAGAGTCCATACTGCTTAGACTCAATGAGTGTATCCCAACATGGATGGAAACACATTTCCTTATGCTAGGGACATTTTTCAAAAGCTTTGCACCATTGCCGACAGCTCTCCTAAGGCATTGGAGGAGAAGCAGAGAAAAGTCTAATTTGTATGGGGCCAGATTCTCAAAAGATTGCAGCACCTGTTTAGGCAGGTACCAATGTCAGTGGCCAGATTTTTGCCTAGGAAATAACCTCAGTGTCCTTGGCCAACATTTCTCATTCTCCCACTGTTGTGGTGTGGAAGGTAGCTACTGCCCTCTGCCTCACAAAGGCCAAGAGAGAGGTCATAGGCCAGCTGGGGAGGGGACGATATAACATCAGTCGTGAGATTTGTTGTGATCTTTGTTAGCCAAAAAGGAGCGATTTGGATGAGAGAGGGAGAGTGGCACTGCTGATATGCAATGGCGGCAAACAGAAACCCCTTTCAAAGTTCTTCTGAAAAGTGGCTAAAATGGCCCCTCATGTTCTGATCAAGCCCGTTCACTCTTGTTACACCCAAGAGAAGGGACTCGGGCTTCCGCAGCTGCCTTCATTCAAGTGCCAGGTTAACCGTTATTCTCAGGACTTTTCTAAATAATAGGACTGGGAGTTGGCACTCCTGCGCTCTGCTCCCAACTTTGCTACCGGATCCCTGTGTGACCCTGGGAAAGTCACTTCCCCATTCTGTGCCTCAGTTTCCCATCTGTAAAATGGGGATAATCTAGCATGGAATAAGATAGTGGTGTCCTGTCTGTCATGTAGAGCTTCTGGGGCAGGGAACATCTTTGTTTCTTGTCTGTACGGTGCTAAGAACAAAGCAGCCATGAGTCTTGACTGGGGTTCCTAGGTGCATAATAATAATAATAAATGATTAAAGTATTTGCCATTTACATAAGGCTTTTCCTGTTCTAAGTGCTTTACAAGCTGCTCATTACTGTAGTTCTCATAACTGCCCATGAGGTGGGGGTAGCACCATTTTCCTCATCTTGCAGATAAGGAAACCGAGGCACAGATCGAGGTAAGTGACTGGGAAGATCTTGCAGCAGGTCTGTGACAGAGCTGGCATTCCCGATTCCACCTACGTGACTTCCCTGTGGGTTTCTGCAGCGGCACACGGAGGAAGGATTTGGGCATGTCACTTGACAAGAGGCTGGAGCCATTTACAGGCACTATGAATCCACAGGAGTGGGGCTCTGGGACCCACAGGCTGTATCTACTAGCCTGCATTCCATAACCCTCCATGGAGTAGGTGCCTCTGGTGCAGTGCTGTCCTGAGCAGGCACAGTTCTTCCTCAGGCTTTGGTCACTTTTCCTGGCCTGGGACTAAAATTCTCTTCAGTTCTGTGAGATCTACCGCGGACAGGTGCTGAACAGACAAAGCAGGAATTCCTATGTGTACGTCAGGGTCATTGAAATACAAGCAGCCCCGTTGTAAGCATTTCTCATCCCTTCGAAGAGACACTGAGGAACAGAGGAATTGTCAAGTCCATCTCATCCAGCATCCTGTCCCTGACAGTGCCCAGAACCAGCTGCTTCAGAGGAAGGTGCAAGGAACTCTGAAGTGGCTCATGATGGGAGAACCTGCCCATAGGGGCAGTTTCTTCCTAAACTCATCGGTGGTTGGTTAGCTCGCTGTCTGTGGGGAGGACTGGTAGCACGTTAACGCTGCTGTGTGGATGAAAGACCCGGCCATGTGCCAGCCCCCAGAGATCCTAGGGGAGCTCAGTTGCCTTTTGCCTCTCCGGGCGGAGGCAGGAGCCTTGTGGGAGAAAAAATGCCTGCGGCTGGAATGTCCCTGCTGCTGCAGAAAGATGAAACCGAAGTTGTCCTGAAATAGATCTAGCTGCGTGGTTGGAGAGAAAGAGAGAGAGAGAGAGACAGAGTGTGTGTGTGTGTGCACATGTGTGTGTGTGCGTGTGTGTGCGCGCGCGCAGCAGGGGCCTAGGACACGGGGCTGGAGTGAGAGACACAACAGCGACAGGTGCTGCAGCGTGGGGGCAGGTTGAAGGGTACGTTCACACTGCAAAGGAAGCTGGGATTGCAGCGTGGGCAGGCATCCTGCCACTGGCTTTAATGAGAAGGGCAATGGTGGTGGGGAAGTGGCAGCGTGGGCTCCTGTGCAGGCTAGTCACCCCAGCACAAGCCTGCCCCACTCAGGTTGCTGCCCTGCGCCAGGATCCATGCCACAGCATCTTCACTGCTCTCTTCAAACACGCCTAGCCTATAGATCCCCTTTGCCCCGCCGTGGCGCAGCTCAGAACCCTCCCCTGTACACACACCTCGACCACAGAACCTCCCAGGTACACTCCCCCCCAGCACATCCCCCCTGCCCAGTCCCTTCTCCCCACAGTGCTTTATGGCGTTGAGATGGCGCCATCCCCTTCACAGCTCAAGCAGCAGCAGTGCGAGGTTCCCAGGCGGAAGGGCTCTCCCTCCTCCTCCCCCGAGCAGCTGTGGAGAAACCAGACTGCGGGCAGGGGTTGCTGCACAAACTCCCCTTCCCTTTTGCACGGCTGCATCTGCCTTCTGCCTTCTCCTGCTACGGGAGAGCCCTGGGCACCTGCTGAATCCTGCGGCGCAGTTTCCATAGCGACGTTGCTCAGGTATAGCCAGGACATCAGTCATCGGGGTGCCGGCTGTGAGGGCACAGCCAGACTCCTCCTGGCTGCAGCTTAGCGAATTCTCTTCTCTGAGCCCCACCACGCCCTTTAATGCAAGAGCTGCCTTGGCTCCAGCTAGCGGTTCACTGGCACACTCTCTCCGCCCTGAGTGACTAGGGTGGCTATGAATGAATAGCCAGCACGGAGTCAGTGTTGAACCAATGCCCCAGCATGGGGTTGCTGGAGGAGCTGCAGAACCCAAAGTGTTGCCATGGGTAAGAGGAGGGCGGATCGGCTCGTGTTTCTGGCCAAATTCCCATCTCAGCAGCTGTCTCTTCACTGCCCTGCGCCTGGTCTGGTCATTGATGCCTGCACAAACAGGTGCGTGCACACTGCAGGATCAGACTGGTACCACGTGACACCCAGGCAGCACGCATGTGGATGCCAACAAATGGCACAAGGAAGGGAGAATCAGAGCATGTTTTCACACCACCTTCCTCCCCATCCTATCTGACCAGCCACGGTGCCAATTCCAGTAATATCCTGCCCAGCTACAGTTCAACCTGCCATTTCAGTCGGAGATGAGGTTTTTCACTTCCTGTCCTAAACTCTTGAGGAGTATTAAACAGCTGCCATGTTCCACCCAAGTGGTGGCTGCATTTCATTGGTGGGTGAAATAATTCTGGTGCATACATGCAGTGTGTAAAGTGCTTTGGGATGAAAGGGGGTATATCTCATTGCCCAGTTCCATAGGGTAGCTCATGGACTGTACCATGTTACTGTACACACATTTTCTCCTACTTACTGATACCCATGGCTGGCTCATCCACGGGGATTGAACCGGGGAACCTTTAGATCTAGAAGCATTAGTCTCTCTCGCGTGAGCTAAAGGAGAAAACATCTTGGTACGAAGGCCATAGCAAATTCACTCTCCTCTGTATGTTATCCAGCCTCTATGGAGTGACAAAGCCCCAACTACCTGTGCTGGGATGTGTCACCGCCTCTCTCTCTCTCTCTCTCTCTCTCTCTCTCTCTCTCACACACACACACACACACATACACACACACACACACACACTAGCATTGGGCTGGTGTTTAGAACATTTTGCTGTGCATTACGAGTGCAGCTATTACAGGCATTTGCTTTGGAAAGGTCCTGCCTTTAGACCCCATTACTGAAGGAAATGAAAACCATCTTTCACTACGAATCTTTTGTGCCTGTGGGTTGTTTTGGCCTCTCTGGAAATTGCCATTGTGCATCTTAACGTCTCCCTGCCACATCTGCTTCCAACGCAGGTGTTTTTCAGCCCCGGCAGTTTAGTAGGACGCTTAATTTTTACAACCCTGTAAATGCTGCAGCCTCTGGAGCCGTGAGCTCCGAGGTCTTGAAGAGGCAGCAGAGTTCAGGCAGCTGCACTTCTAATCAGAGGCCGCGGGGTCCTAGATGAAAGCATCCAACTCATTGCTTTACCCTGAGCTGTCCTTCCTGAGGGAGTCGCCTTGGAATGGCTGTTGAGACCATCAGTGTTAAGGTCAGCCAGGTAAACGGCCCACATGAGGACATTCATCCGAAAGTGCAAAGAAGACCAATTAAAGGCATGGAGCATCGAAGCTGGGAATTTTCAAAGGGAGGTGTTGGGTGCTTAATCCCCTCAGGCCCTCTGGGAGTCCAAGCTATAAAGCCGGCTCTGAATACAGAGCCAACATCTCCTGAGCCCACCGCTACACAGAGGTGGAGAAAGCCTGCCCTGTGCATGCGTAAGGGAAGCGCTGTGCCCTGGTGTCTCACACCTTTCCAAGGGTTCACAGCACAGCTTCCATGTGGCTGCTCCCCAGTGGCGGCAGGGTGGGAAGACTGAGGCTAGGTCTACACTACCCGCCTGAATTGGCGGGTAGAAATCAACCTCTCGGGGATCGATTTATCGCGTCCCGTTGGGACGCGACAATCGATCCCCGAATCGACGCTCTTACTCCACCAGCGAAGGTGGGAGTAAGCGCCGTCGACAGGAAGCCGCAGAGGTCGATTTTGCCACCGTCCCTACAGCGGGGTAAGTCGGCTGCGATACGTCGAATTCAGCTACGCTATTCGCGTAGCTGAATTTGCGTATCATAAATCGACCCCCCCCGCTGTAGTGAAGACGTAGCCTGAGGCACAAGGCAGGGGAAAGCAGGGGGTCCCCACATCAGGACTTAGTTATGTGAGTGCCTCCAAAGCTCGTTTTCTCTCTGGACAAAGGGGAGAACAAGCAGATCGGGTGCCTCTGTCATGGTCAGAGGTGGCTGTTCAAATCTCCACCCTCTCAGATTTCTGCTCGGCTGTGAGCGCGTGTTGGATTATTTCGGGGGCAGGCCAGGCTGTCCTTACAGAACGGCCTTTGCAAAGAGCTGGGCCGGACAAAGTGCTGAGATCCAGCCGTGTTCTCATTTCTGCCGAAAGGGAATTCCACAGACGAAGGCCCCGTCTGGGCTCCGCGAGAGCTGCGCTCTGAGCGCCACTGGCCCTACCGTCCCCGGCGAGGGCAGCTGATAGGGAGCGTCCCGGAGATCTTTGTAGATTAGGAGCAGGGCTCTGAAGCAGCTCCAGTATTGGACGGGGTCAGGGTAGCGCTCAGAGCTCCACAGCCATGAGCTCGCTCCAGCCACTCTCCTGGCCTCTCGACAAAACACAGCCTTGAGCCACGTTAGGTGCCAAAAAACATTTATTAGCAAAGTGGACACTAAGAAACGCTCACAGTCTTGCTACTCTCACAGGGAGCTCAACACAGCGTGAGCCGGCGGCCGAGACTACCTATATAGCATCTAACCGAGTGGAAGGCAGCATTGCTAGGCGGGTTTTCTCCTGCAGGGGAGCAATGGGGTCCCTCGGGGTGTGTGTGTGTAGGGGAGCATCTATGAAACCATTATCCAAGGAGACGATCTCCGGGCGAGAGCTAAAAACAACGCGTCTGGGGGTTGGTTTTGCTTTTCTGCTTTCCAGGATTGTGCTTATGAGTTTTGTGCTTTCCACTCACGCCGGGTCACAGTTGAGTTTGTCTGGGAAGCTACGGGGGCTTTGCAAGAGTCGGATGCGGGCTGGAGGAAAGCGTCTCGGGCCTGGCTGAAGCTTACAGTCAGCCTTGCTGTAGAGGCTGCTGGCCAGGGACCTGTGCTGAAGCGTGCTAGAGGGGTGGAAACCACCACCCTCGTTTCTTAATGACAGCCAGGTAGGAGAGGGATTACTCCTCTCCTCTGCCCATCCTCTGGACCTTACACCTCCAGCTCCTTCATTCTCCCACTATCTGATGCCATTTATCCCTCTTTCCCTCTCCTCCTCCAGACAACATCGTCTCCAGGATGAACAACCCCAGTATGGTAGTGCACAAAGGTCCCGTGGTGCTAGGCGCGGTACGAACACAGATGTCGAGGTGGTCCCCGCCCCATAGAGCTGCCAGCAAGGTGGCCTCCCAGCCGTGCATTCACTCTCCTCCTGCAGTTGTGGCCCATTTTGGTGGCACCAACACAGGGAGGAAGCCTTGGCGAGGAAGAGGAGGCTGGTGCCATCTGGCTCCTCCAGCCCGTTGGCTTCTTGGTGGCCATCAAAAAGAGCCGCGTTGGGTGCACTCTATAATGTGCAGTTTGAACCTACTCTACATAAGCCTTTGGAGAACAATGATCTCTGAACTCCCTCCACTCTCCACTCCCCTCCACCGGGGCAGAAGACAGCTACAAAGTGTACCCCTGAGCCAATAACATTGTCCTCCCCGTCTCACCCCCACAGTCAAAACTGAAATCAGCGAAACCAGTTCTCAGTTGCGGTTCCTCTTGGCTTGGTTCGGCGCATGCGCGTCTCTAACTGCCGGGAAGCACCGGGTCGGAGAGATGTCTCTGAATGTCTAGGTGCTCGGAAGAGGCTTCAAGGTGCTCGGGGAGGGAAGGGAAACGAGAGCCGTGGAAGAGTCCCCGTGTGTGTGTTGCCCTCTGGTGGGGCTCTGGGTTGGGGAAGGTCTGGGAATGGAGTTCCGGCTGGGAGTAGATGGTTTTCTCTGAAGCTGCCAACAGGTGTACCCCGCTTGACAAGGAGTCCCTGGATTTCAGCTGGAACTTTTCTATCTCTGTGTAGCTTGGGCTCTGGTGGAGAAGGGGAAGAAAAGGAGAAATGAGGGTGCGTTGTTATGAGATTAAAGTTCAGCAACTAGGGTCTTCTGGCCAAGAGGCCATAGCGTCCCCTAGAGAGAGAGAAGCCCACTGAGCAGGTGGTGCCAGCCCATACAGTGGGGCAGCTTCTTGCCTTTTCATGGGGACACCTTGGAGCAGAGAAGCCCCCGCCCCGTCATTGGGAAACCCCTTACAGCTCACACACACTCCCATTGGTCAAATCCTGCTGCCCTAGTGACGGCGCAACCCCCAGTGCTGGAGCCACGTCTCAACAGATTCAGAGGCCTGGTCTGCACCAGAAAATTAAGTTGGCTTGAGCAGTGTAGTTAAGCCGACCTGAGTCCCTGTGCAGCTGATTCATGCCAGAAAGGGGACTCTACTCTCTTTTCCTCCAGCACCCCAAAAGAACGGCTTTGGGGTGCTGGGTGTTCTCATTCCAGGCTTCTGCTGGGCTTCATCCCCTCTCCAGCCCCAAGGGCTTAGGCCAGAGGGGATGACCTGGGGGATGATGGGTTTCGAAACGGCCCTGGGTTAGTCGGAGAGGGAGAGGAGAAACAGGAGCAGGGGGACCTCGCCCAGAGAGAAGCAGTGGGTGAGGTGGCAACATCTCCCCAGTCTCTCCATCCCCCACATTGGTGAGAGGAAGCTGCCTCCCTCATGGCCAGACCCTTCCCCACACTGTGAGGAGAAATGGGAGGGGAGCAGCCCCTATTCTGGACCCTCAGCCCAGCCCTCTCTGCATCTGGAAGGCAGGGGCAGCCTTGGAGAGCCAAGTCGCCTTCCTTCACCCCAGGGTCACGCGCGCAATGACATGCCAGGGGACCCCCTTGGTCTGCTCCTCTGGAGGAGGAAGCTGCTCTCCGCTGTGAGGAGACGGAAACATCTCCCCTAGAGCCCCCTCAGCCTCGGTTTGGGCTCAGCACTTGTACTGGTCTTTGCTGTGAAGCGGGATGAGGTCGGGAAGTACTGGGACTAGATCTGCTGGGCTGCCTGAGGCGGAAGGACACCGCTCCCAGCCAAAGCGCTCAGTCTCAGTGTTTAGCCAGCACAGGAGTCTGTGAGTTACCTCCCCGGGAGGAGTCAGGTCCTTCTCCTGCAGCGGCGTGCACGGTGGAGCAGGCTCCATGCCCCTCGGGCCCATGCTGTACATGGCCAGGCTGTGGGAGGACGGCGAGATGGGGCTGTATGCGGGCGGCACTTGGGACAGCTGGCGCTGCAGGAGCTGGAGGATTATATTAATATCCGAAGACATCCTGGACTCCAGCCTGTGGGACAGATCAACCAGCGTTAGCACGGTGCATCCCAGGGCCACCCTCTTTCATCTGGGCAGTGGGCTTTGTTTGGGCTGCACTGAGCAGGCAAAGTGTCTGGAACCCCAGTGTGGCCAAGCCAGTGCGGCCCACTGAAGGTAGCGTGGGAACCAGCGAATCCAGGGAGTGGCCAGAGCACGGGGGGTGGGGTTTGTCAAAGCGCCTTTTGATTTTCCAAGGTTGCTGCAGATGCTCCCAGCTCAGGCTGGCGAGGGCAGGGTCAGACAGCCGGCTCCATCAACAGACAGAGGATGCTGCAGTCACCACCCACCAGAGCCAGCCCAGGAGAAAAGGCTTATCCCAAACAGCCTGGCCAAGGCGTTTTCCAGCCCTTCCCTTCTAAGGCAGGAGCCTCGTTTGCATCTTCTTGTCGTGTAGATGGGTCACAAGGACACCCAGTGTTAGGATGGCTAATGCTAACCGAGAGTCTTGGAAGAGAGACAAACTCAGATCTTAAACCAATCGCTATTGGGATCACGCTGGGCAGATGAGCTGGGCTGGCTATTGGAGGTTTTCTTCCACATTCCCCTGAAGCGTCTGCTGCTGGCCACTGTCAGAGCCAGGACGCTGGGTTAGATGGAGCCCTGAGCTGATTGGATCCAGTATGGCAATTCCCACAGTCTGTGGATTTACACTATTATTTATATTACAGTAGCAATTAGAGGCAACTAGAGCGGCGACCAGGCCCCATTCTGCTAGGCGTTGTGCAGTCACAGAGTCAGAGACCGTCCCTGCCCCAAAAAGCTACAGTCTAAATAGACATAACAAAAGGTGGGAGGGGAAACAGAGGCACGAGGGAGGTCAAGTAACTGCCTCAAGGAAGAGAACCCAGGTCTCCTGATCCTAATCCACTGGGCCATGCTGTCTCTTCAACAGCCAGGCCCAAACCAAGAAGCCAAACTCCCAGGAGTGCTGGGGAAGGCTGGCTGCAGATTTGGTTCTGGACTTCGGGGCTGTCCCTATCTCCACGTGGGTCTGGCAGGGTGAAGAATGACTGAGAATATTCCTACGTTTACATCACAACCCAAAGGGACCATTTTTTTGAGGGAAGTAAATGGAAATTAAAAGACAGGCTAGGGCCCTTTCTCCGATCTCAGCGGAGCCTGCTGCTGTCACGACATGGCCACCAGGGGGTGCATCATACCTAGTCGGCAGAGCACATGGGAGTTTTTATTAAGTCAGTGAAAAAACGGCTGAGTGACGCAGGGCAAATACTTCTTGGGCCTAAAGTCACCGAAATCTACACTTAGGCACCTAGATAAAAGTGGCCTGATTCCTAGAGGCACTGAGCACACACAACTCCCACTGCACTGAATGGGGGGTGCAGGCAGCCACTGAAAATCACATCTTTATCGAGTTGCTTCCACATGGGTGTAACTTTTGGTCGCCAGCGGTGGAAATTCCAGCTGCACTATTGAAGTGGCAGGTCTCACCGATCTGAGCTCCTTTCCCTTCTCATTCAAATGCTGGCCCCTTCCTTACTATTTACACGGCAACTGTCTGTCGCCAGTGACTGGCTTCGCGAACAATTCACCTGCCTAGGATGGTCGAGCAGGAGGAAGGCGGCCGCTCTTCATATAAGCGAACAGCGGCAGATGTAAATGCAAAGCCTTCAGTTCCTGACCCCGTGACTGAATTCTGTGGGAGCCACTGTAACTAAAGCCAGTCTGGGCCCTGCTGAGGAAATACTTTAGCAGCTGCTTCCAGATGTCACCACTAATCACAGTAGGGCAGGATGCTCCATGAACATGCAATACCGAAAGTAGCCAGCAGGGAGAGCCCACGTCACATCACAGAGCTTTGTTAAACAGCCCTGTTCGATGTGGGTCTTTTAAGGGGGGGCGGCAGATGCCATTCACTGGGTTGGCCCAGAAGGGGCAGCACCCTGAGCCACTCAAGCGCTGCAGGAACCCAGGCTCCGGCCTCGGAGGCGCTGCACCCACCTGCTGAGCTGAGCCTGCAGCAGCTCCAGTCGGGATTCGATCTGACCCTGCCCGTAGTCCAAGCGCAGAGGGTTGGCCCGGGAGTTGTGGACCAAGGACGCGTGCGGCAGGGGCTCTGGGTGGAGGTTTGGCTGTCTGTCCTCCCAGAAGGCGAACATGTTTGGAACGTCCCCGGGGGTGGCTGCAAAGAGGAGAGTTCACAGCTGCTGTTGGAGCAGACCCGAGATAACCCCCCCCTACCCCGGCACCAGGAATTCCCAGTCAGCAAATCCCGACCCTGCAGTCCCAAACAAGCTCTCGCTGCAGCCCCAATGGTAGTTTGCCCACCTCTGGCCTAGGCTGAGGTTTGTGTTGTGATACCATCACTGTCTGGATTCCCCACAGAGCTAGATCCTAGGCAGGGCCTGTTGCTCCTCCCAAGGGTCCGGACTTGCCTCCATCTCCCAAAGACGGGACACTCTCCCTTCTCCCTCCCACGGCGCCCCGCAGTGGTCACACTCAAACCCTGGACACTGGTCAGCCCTTGAGGGGCCCAATTGGATCTCAGCCCATCTCCCCTCGCTGATTGCCAGCGCTGGGCCCCCCCCCCCGGCTCCCGGCAGCGCCCCAAGACACAATCACCGCTACCCGCGTAGGACTGGCTGTCCTCCGCCGCCTGCTTGCTGACATCGGTGCCACTGGCGTTGGGGGTGACCAGGCTGAGCACGGCTGGGGCAAAGTCGTCCTGGTCGGAGTCAGGAGAGGGCTCGGCCTGGGTGGGGCTGGGGGGCTTGGCCTCCTCGTCGCTGGTCTGCGAGCAAGGCGTGGTGCTGCTGCACAGGTCATCCCACTGGTCCTTGCTGAGGGGGCCCTGCAGGTTGGTGAGCTCCGAGTAGGTGTGGTATGGCTCGGCGTCCGAGATGCCCGTGTCCAGCCCATCCGGGTCTGTGGGGCAGGGGGTGCAGACAGGTTAGTACAGACACCCCAGGGCAGCCCCTTCATACCCCATCCCCACCGTGATGCCAAGGGGCTTCAGGAGCCCACGAGAGAACCATGGGGAGCTTTGCCCAGCATCACGGGGATGAGGGGGAGGAAAGGGCTGGCGGGCATCTGCCTTGTGCGGGCTGGATGGTGCCCAGCGCTGCTTAATAGACGGTGAACAGGAGAGGCCGGCTGGTGCCCAGTGCTGCCTCACGGAGGGGGCCAGGCCAGCCAATACCATGTCTCAGGGTGGGCACGACGTGATCCAGTCAGTGTCCTGCTTTGCCTCATGGGCAGTGGTCTGGGCCCTGCTGTGCCAGCAGCACCACCCCGTCCCCGAGGCACTGGTCAGCCGAGGCTCTCAAACCCCCGCCCTCCCACCAGTGCCCGGGGTGGAGAGCGGGCTGCCCCAGGGCGCTCAGCTGTCAGGACACTGCCCTGCCAGGGCGCAGGCCAGCTACCTCCCCTCCCCACAGCCCTTCACAAGCGCCAGACACCCAGACCCACCCTGCGCCATGGCGCACAGAGCCGCCCCAGGCCCTGGCAGGGGAGTCGGGGCGGGGTGTGTGTGTGCGGGGAGACCATCGCTCTCTGAGTCAGGGGCTCAGATTGGCTTGAACCAGCTCTGGCGTAGCTGAGACCAGTCCCTCCTGTAGTGCTGGTACCACAGTGACAGGGGGCGTTGGGGAGAGGGGGGACGGGAGAGAAGCAGCTGGAGGGAGAAGGCGCTGGGGGGCAGAGACGGCTGTTCACACCCTCCCCATCCTGCCCAGCAGCTGCCACCGATCCGAGGAGACCGAGCCCGGCCGGCTACGACTCACCGGTCTTGGGGGGCCGGCAGAGGGAATGCTTGCGCCGGCGCACGCGGCGGTAGGAGCAGTCGTAGTCCTCGCTGAGCGGCGAGCGGGGGATGCTGTCTGCCTGAGAGGGAAGAGGGCGCCGAGCGCGAGAGGGGACTGTTAGTGCTACACAAAGAATCCCTGGGGCGCCTCTCCGCAGGCCATGCTCCCGGTCCCCTCTCCCCAAGCCCGCTAGCAGGAGATACTGAACCGGACCCTCCTGAGGTGTGATGAGAGACCCTCGAGGCTCGGTGCCCTGGGGGGCATGGTACAGTGTGAAGGAGGGCGGATGGGGGGTGCCCCATTAGTGGAGTTAGGGAGTGTCTCTCACACACTCATCAGCCAGTGTCTCTGGAAAAAACAAACAAACGGTGGCAGCCAATCAGATCGCCGAGCAGGATTTAACGATAATGTTTACGGGGGAAAAATGACTCCAGAGCCTTCAGCCAATCACAGCCTTGATTGTTCATAAAAGCGGGGACTTCTCTGAATAAGCTTATTTGTGATTGGCTGAAGGCTTTGGAATCCCTCTTTTTTCCCTTAGCAATCTGACCCACCGTCTGATACCTGAAGTCAATTGGACTTAAGCATGTGGTTAAAAGTTCAGAGTACTCTTCTGGATTGGTGCCAAAGTCATGACGTTTACATGGTGATGTCATCACATGACATCATCAGTATGCAATGACATCATCATGGCAATGCCATCTCTATGGGACAGTGCCTTTAGTCCCAGTGTTGTAACAATGTGACCCAAATCACATCACGTCAAGACCAGAGAAGCGCGTCATGACAAGACCATCACCACATACTGCAGTAATGTGACGTGCTGCATCATGACAATGAAATCATGCCCTCACTCAAACCATTGTGTCACATCAGTGTTACATTGTGACACAATGACATGGTGTCATGTTGAAACAATGCCCTCACATTACATCACAATGTGAAACAATGCCCTCACGTTGTGAGAACAGCATCATGTCAAAACACGGGACAACAGCACCACGTCACAAGGCAACATGTCACAGCAAAACATCATCATGTGACACATCACGACACCACCATGTTGACATGTGGCCACATTGCACCAAGCCATCACGACACCACGCTGTCATGACATAACACTGTCTTGTCACAACAAAACGGCACCGTTTGATGACTCTGCATGACCCCATGCTGGGCACTGTCACGTCTCCCATACTCCCTCCCATCACAACCTAACGTCAACACGTCTTGCTGGCATAGGATTGCAACATGATGACCTTGCATCAGCCTGAAATAACCTTTGAGATATTTTAATAGTGCTGAGGTCCTGCAAAACTGGGGGGAAGGGGGTTTAGCTGCAGGACTCATGGATCCAAATTTCCAGAAGAGCTCAGGGCCAGATTTCCAAGCTCTCAGCACCTACAATCACGGCTCCTAACATGCCCCCATGGGCTGGGCTCTTGTGAAAATTTAGGGCCCAAATCATGATGTCCACAATCCCCAGGGGGAGTGCTGAGCTCTTCTCAAAACCTGGCTCTTATTGACTCGAAAGCAATTAAAAGCTCAGATAAGGCTTTGAAAACGTAGCCCTTGGAGCCTAGCAAACATGTGAATGATCTGAGCTAGGAGCACAGAGCGCTTGTCAGTCTATGCTCCCCAGCACCGTTCCCTCCAGCGTCCCTCGGCCCCATTCCTCCCCAGCGATTTGGATGGGGACAATTGGCAGCAGCTGCCTCTGTTCTCCTAACTCTCCACACCTACGCCTGAGACTCACATCTCTCAGGTTGAAGGTTATCTCTAAGTTGCTCCAGAAGTTGTCGGAAAAGGCCGGGTACATATCCAAGACCTCCAGGAGGTCCTCCCGCTGGATCTTATGCAAGTCGCAGTAGGTCAGTGCCCGGACATCCGCGTTGGATTTCCCAGGCCGGGCATAGAGGCTGATGGGCTCCCCAAAGATGTCGTTCTTCCCTGTGCAATGGAGAGAGGCTCATGAGGGCATGGGTGGTGGAGTTGTCCCCAGCGGCTCTAAGGCTTTAGAGAGACTGCTCTGCTGAAGTCCTGATTCACTCAGCAGCCTACGTCTGTGTCCTCCTCTCCTCCAGCTCCCCACCTTCCTCTGTGTCCTCTCCCCTGACCCACCCACTAGACTCCTGCTCGCCGCTTTGCCCCTTCTGCCACGCCTCCCTTCTCCAGATCCACCCCACCCCAAGGCCTCCTCTGCCAACCCCTTTGCTACTTGCGCTGTGGCTGATCTTTGTAAGCTCTGTAGGGCAGGGGCCTTGTCCCTTTAGCTGCTCTGTAACAGGCCATGCGTGGGCCTCTCGAGGGCTCTAACACTGAATTAAAAGACTGTCCCCCGTTAGGCCAGGAGTGCTGAAATTCACCAGCCCTCGCTTAGGTCACGACATGCGAACCTCACAAAACTGTGAGAGTCAAGTCAGCTTTGTAGCGTAGTCAGCACTCCCTTCCACAGCTGCTGAGTCCAGGCCAGGACGCTGGGTAGACCCTCTGTAGAGACATGGGGCCGCATGGGCTGGGAGCTAGAGAGAACCCAAAGGGTCTGTCTGTGTCCGGCAGCCTCAATAAAAATCCCCTTGGAATTCGTGACAGCTGAGTCTTGGCTTTCCCCTGCCCACAGGGACACGACAGGATGAAACATCGGCCGATGTAAGTGCTCCTCCCAACTCTCAGAACCTCTTGGGTTTGGAGGGCCGGGAGAACAGGCCTCCTCTTTCATGATCTCCGATGCTTCTTGCTTTAGGCTGCGCCAGAGATGTCACAAGATCAACCGTCTTGCGTGGGATTACAGTGTTTCTGGCCCTTGCCTGCAGGAGGCAGCATTCTGGGAAAGAACAGTTTAGGGGGGTGGAGGAGTTGGGACCCGCCAGTTTCTTCCCAAACCTAGAAACAGGCAGCGTCCAGGGGTCTGAGCTGGGTTTGCTTCGATTCCGATTTGATCTGAGCTGGTTCCTCCACTCCTAGTCACAGCCAGGGGTGGATTGAGACCAAACCGGGCACGGATCCACCCGGCTGCTGGCATCTTCCAAACACACCCTCCCAGCCTCCTGCCGCCTCCCAGCCCTGGTGGATGCTTCTTCCCAGCCCCACTACAGCAGAGAGAGGATCTGGTCTTTCCTCCCAGGCCTGGGCCCATTCTGCCAAGGGAGGCAGCACTGGATGCTAGTGGAAGCCTAGAGTTGGGGAATGGGAACCAGCTCCCTCCTCTCCGTCCGCAGGCTGGGTGACCTTTTGGGGGGGGTGTCTCACACCACCAGCTGAGACTCATTGCCCGAAGCAGGGAGTTATCAGGGGAGTGGGACGGTTCTCTGCTTTCTTCTGGCAGAGCCCCCTCTCTCTCCCCCACCTGCCCTCCCACGCCCACATCGCGCGCCGGAAGGAAGGGCTCTTCCACCTAGGATGGCCACCACAATGTCCTCCCGGAGAATCTCGATGGAGCCGCGGGAGATGAAGTAGAGGGTGGTGAGGACGTCCCCGTAATGCACCAGGGTGTCTCCGGGAGGAGCGTGAGTCGTCTTGAACTTCATGGCAAGGGCTCGGAGGCAGCCCTTGCTGGCCCCTCGGAAGGCCTTGCAGTTCTGGAGCAGGGTACGGTTCAGGTGGAGGCAGATGTCAGCCTGCAGGCATTCGGGGAAGCCTTTCAGCACCTGCATGGGGAGGAGGGGGCAGCCAGTCACACAGCAGGCCCAGAGGATGAACCCCACACCCCCCGCCCCCGGCCGTCCTATAGGCAAGCACAGACTGGGCTTCCCGTGTCGCAGTTACATCGAGGAACGGATCCAAGCCATAGCCTCTGCGCCGGACGCAGCCAATGACTACGGGCTCTGTCTGTAATGGGACAATCCAACCCGTCCGCTCGCGGCACAATCCCCAAGCACGGGGGAGGGGGACGGACGGACTTCAGCTCTCTCCAGCTCTCTTGGACGCAGGCTCCAATGGGATGTGCTGAGAGGTGGGGGGGCTGGGAGTCTGTTCCCAGCTGTGGAAGGGGGTGGGAACCAGAGGGGTGGAGAGTGTGTGTGTGTGTGTGCGGGGGAGGGCGCTGAATGGCCTGTGGCAGCCCCAGGATAAGGAGGGCAGAAGCCCCCCCTCCCCTTCAGTCCCTATGCTGGGCCCTGCACTGCGAATCCAGCCCTCTAGGAGCAAGTCAGCATGGTGCCTTCAGTAGAACCAGCACAAAGGGAACTGGCCTGGTTTTAGGTGAGGTCACTTTATAATAATCTAGTGACACATCCGCTGGTGCCTTCCTGATTTTAGAAGCTGTCTCCTCACTGACTCCCAAAAAGCAAATAAAAACACTTGGGAAATTCCAAACCCAAAAAACTGTTGTTTAAAAAAATAAATAAATAAAAGTGATGGTTGCTTGCAGTCACCCCTTCCTTCCTTTACAGAACCCACGGCCCTGAAAAGCAAGGAAATGAATAGCGAGGGGCATCCGAGATATCACCAACCACATGACAGACCCCTTCTTATCGCGTATAACTGATCACCAACCGAAGATGAGTCAACACTGTGATGCAGATGCGAAAAAGACTAATATCGTTCTGGGCTGTAGTAACAGGAGGGTCGTATGTAAGACACGGGAGGTCATTGTCCCGGTCTACTCGGCACCGGGGAGGCCTCAGCTGGAGCACTGCGTCCAGTTCTGGGCACCGCACGTTAGGAAAGATGTGGACAAACTGGAGAGAGTCCAGAGGAGAGAAACAAAAATGATCAAAGGTTTAGAAAACCTGACCTGTGAGGAAAGGGTAAAAAAACAGGGCATGTTCAGTCTGGAAAAAAGAAGACTGAGGGGGACCCGATAACAGTCTGTGAATACGTTAAGGGCTGATAGAAAGAGGACGGGGATCAATTGTTCCCCTTGTCCACAGAAGGTAGGACAAGAAGTGATGGGCTTGATCTGCTGCAAGGGAGATTTAGGTTAGACATTAGGGAAAGCTTTCGAACTGGGAGGGGAGCTCTGGACTAGGCTTCCAGGGGAGGTTTGGGAATCCCCATCTCCGGAGGTCTGTTGGACAAACCTCCGTCAGGGCTGGTCTAGGGTTACTTGGTCCTGCCTCAGGGTAGGGGACTGGACTTCTCAAGATCTCTCCCAGCCACAGGCACTGACTCCATGGGTGCTTCAGGGCTCAAGCACCCATGGGGAAAAAAAAAAGTGGGTGCTCAGCACCCACCAGCCACAGTTGTTTGGCGGCGTTGACAATCAGCTGTTGGGGAGGTGCCATGATCAGCTGTTTGGTGGCTGTGGGAGGTGCGTGGGGGAGGGCAGAGAGCAGCAAGCGGGGAGCAGAGGCCTTGGGGGAGGGGTTAGAGCGAGGGCAGGGCCTTGGGGGAGGGGTGGAGTGGGGATGGGGCTCGGGCAGAGCAGGGGTGGAGCAAACCCAGGGAAAAATAAAAGCCATTTTAAATTCTCCTTTGCCAGGAGGCCGGCCAAAAAAAACTTGACAATGATGAGGCAGCTGGTGTGGTGAGACCAGTGCCAGTCATGCCAACCAGTATGGCCTCACGATTTCCCTTGTGCTCCTGTCTGGCTGCATCCACCAGCGGTCTCTTGTCCCGTGCTTCGATTGGAAGCTTTTGGGGGAGGGAACCATCTTTTTGTTCTGTGTTTCTACAGCACATAGGGCCACGGGGTTGTGGTTCATGACGGGGGCTGCACGTGGCTGCTGCAGTACGAAGCAGTAATAAAATATAGGTGCACATTAGTGATGAGATTCATCACCCCAAAAGCCAGCCCCCAGATCTATACCGAATGATGCCATCTGCTGGTGAGGAGACACGCTATCCTAATTAAACTCTGTACTCTTCTTCTCAAGATGTCAAATGACGAGGTGTTTGCCATTATGGTCAACTGCCAACTGATTAGTAGAGCAGATAATATTTCCCATTTAATGGTATTTCTTACAAGTAAATATAGAGGAACTGGACTCAGGATAACAAAGAGCAGTAACACAAAACACTCCTCCAGCAATTGCTGGGTCAGAGTTAGACCCACATTTATGGAACTGTGCGGCTGTGTCTACGCCGCCCGCGGCAGCAACCTAGGGAGAGGTGGGCTTCAGAGCCCAGGTTCCAGCCCACGCCACAACTTCAGAGCGCTGCTGTAGCGTGAGCCCTGCTAACCCGAGTCTCTGTGCCCTGGGCTGCTGCTGGCCATGTAGCCGTGGTAGGGCCTGCTCCAAGCACCAGCTCAGCAAGCAGGTGCTTGGGGCGGCCAAGGGGAAGGGGCGGCCCGTTGGGCTCTTCGGCAGCAGGTCCCTCTCGGAGGGAAGGACCTGCCCCCGAAGTGCCGCCAAAGAAGAAAGCGGCACGGTGGAGCTGCCGCCAAAGTACCGCCGATCGCGATCGCGGCTTCTCCCCCCCCCCCCGCCGCTTGGGGTGGCAAAAACCCTGGAGCCGGCCCTGAGCCTTGGCCTATAAGAGCCACGGGGTTTTGTGTTATGTGGGTGGTGGGAGAGTTAGCACGGCCTTAGCTTGTCTTGTCTTTGCCCTTGAATGAGTGGGTTGCGTACGCCAGGTGGAAGCTGAGTACGTTGCTGTCCCTTAGCAGGCGCCGAAGCGCTTCCCAGGCCCAGTGTAGGGGTTGGGCTCCCTTGGGACTGGGTTAGGGGTTGGAGGGGGGACTGGGTTAGGGGTTGGAGGCGGGGCTGGGAGAAAACAGCTCCTTCCCTCCCATGGCTCCAGCTAGTCCTAGCGATTGTGGGACTCTGCCCATTTCTTCTCAGCCAGTGGGCGTGGTGCGACCCAGGGCGCCCCCCCAGTACCTGTCCTGAGGGTCCCCTGGTCTTGGGCTAATGACTGAACACCAGGCTAGGAGTCAGGAACTCCTGGGTTCTGTTCTTGGCTTTGACACTAACTCATTGTGTGGCCTTGGGCTGGTCACCCGCCCCTGGCTCTGTGCCTTAGTTTTCCCCTGTTTAAAATGGGGGTAGGGATACTGACCTATCTCACAGAGCAGCAGGGTGAGTAATTAGTTAATATTTGTATAGCACCTTGAAAATATAAAGCACTCAGGATTACGATGAGAAACAGACCCCAGCCACAAAGTTTGGGGTGCTTGGACTTGGGGTTTGGTTTGGCTCATTATAATGCAAATGGACCAGAAGCAAATTTTGAATCAGGATCTGAATTTTTCCAAAGCTGGGGGGGGGGTGTCCATACCTAGCATTCTGGCTTGGGCCCATCCCTAATTATTAGTATCAATGTCTAATCTAAACTATTTTCTTCAGTAATATCATGTGGCTGTGAGTTCCTCAGGTTAATTACACATTGTGTTGCTTGGCTTCCATTTCGCCTTGACCTGGTGCTTGTCAAGCACATGGAGCAGGGTGAAAATCTGCAAGCTCACCCGATGATGTCCCCAGCGAGGGGAATACATTCCTCGCCCGAGAGGCGAGATGGACGCTTTTTTATAATTGACTGTCCTCTCTTCTCCTCGGGTTCACAGCACCCCGTTCTGGATGGCTAGTGTCTAAGGAGGAGGGCTTCTCCCGATGGCGAAGGCTCAAAGGGGTCTGAGCGAAGGCCTTTCTCTCATAATGCTGCTCTCCCATTGATCCCCTTCGCTCCCTCATCGCGGCCTTTCCAGATGCTAATTAAACTGGACTGAAGTTTATTTAAATGCCGTCCGTTCCCTGTCACCCAAAGCACAACCTGCTTTGCTTAGCAACCGGCGGCGCAGAGAGGAAGTTGGATCGATACGCGCTCCAGAGCCTTTCCCCAGCACCCAACGGAAACTGACGCTGGAGCATAGCAGTGGGCTTTCAGTTCAGCTTCAAACCACCGGCAGCTCAGCACGCAGCCAGGGAAAGCCTAGGAGAGCACACCCTCGCCTCCTGACCTCCCCAGCCACCAAGCTAAGTAGTGGGTATCTAGCTAGCTAAGTAATGGGTCTGCGTGGAGACAGACGGACCCACTGTTCATTCACACGGCTCCAATCACGCACCCAAGCGATACTGACGCGATCTCATCTTGCCCTGCTTTCTTCCAGCCCGAACTAAAAGCACTGAGAGTGGGACAGGGGCAGTGGAGATGGGCTCAGGATTCTGCAGGGTGCCCACCACGGAGCTAGGAGCCTTCCCAAAGCAAGCAGCACCATAAATTGCCTTCCGATTTCCCTCCCCACGGATGCCTCAGGGTTATTGGCAGCGGCTCTGCAGGACCCGGGACCCAGATCCCTGCCTGGCAGCGGCTCAGCCCCGTGCGGGAGGCGGTTCCCCTCTCATCAGCCAGGCACTCACCGCGTTCATGTCGATACCGTTGGTGTAGGACCAGGCGTGCTGGAAGTACTCCTCCAGGCGCTGGCGCAGGGGGTTGGGGATCTGGTGGAAGCGGATGAACTCCTTCACCCTCAGCATCTGGGTGTGGTAGCGGGCCGTGCCCGAGTACAGGCGCTGGATGATGGCAGAGACGTTGCCGAAGATGCTGGCGTACATCAGAGCTGCAAGGAGAGGGCTGGGGTCAGGGATCCCGCAGAAGGGATCGACCTTTGGTGAAGCTAGGACACGCCCCACGGACAGCAGCTCCAACCCCCTCCTGGCTGCCTTCTCATCAAGACACCTGATCCCCTCCCACGGCCCCCATGCTTCCCTTGCTGATCCAGGGGGATGTGTGCTGCTGCAGGTTCCCAGCCGCGGGGGGTCATGGATGGCTAGGGGGACTCATGCTGGTGATCGGGGGCATGTCTGGCAGCGGACTGGGGGGCTGTAGGGCCAAAGCACACTGGGGATTGGAGTTGTCTCTTGGGTCAGGCTGGGGGGGGGGATCAATCCATGCAAAAGTCCCTTACCCTGTTTCTTAGCTGCCAGAAACCGTCTCTCTCTCTGGTCTAGTGCCTCCTGCCTAACCCCTCCAAATGCTTAGTACAGGCAGCCTCTGGTTGTCAGGGATCTGGGAGCAGGCCAGTTTCCTACACTTGACTCTCAGGAGCCTCCCCAAGCCAAGCTGGGTTCTCAGTGCAGAGAATACCTGCTACAGGCAGCTGTCTACATCCAGGTGCTGGGCCGGACAAGCTCTCCCCACCCTTCTCAATATGAGCTAACCCACTCCTCTCCCCAGAGCAGCCCCTGTGGCCTCTGGCCACCACTGCATCCCAGGAGGGCGCGTGGGAACAGGCAGGAGTGGGGAGGTCCTCCAAGTGAGGGTCATGTGGCCCAAGAGGGCGAGTGGGCAGCAGACGAGAGGTCCCCCAGCTGAGGGTCATGTGGCCCAGGAAGGTGAGTGGGGAGTGGGCAGCAGATGGGAGGTCCCCCAGCTGAGGGTCATGTGGCCCAGGAGGGCGAGTGGGGACCAGGCTGGGAGGCCCGGCCAGGTACTCACAGCCAATCAGCATGACACAGATGGAGAAGATCTTCTCGGAGTTGGTGTTGGGGGAGACGTTGCCGAAGCCCACGCTGGTGAGGCTGCTGAAGGTGAAGTAGAGCGCCGTGACGTACTTGTCCTTGATGGAGGGGCCGGACGAGAGGTCGCTGTCATTGTAGCGCTTGCCGATCTGGTCGCCCAGGTTGTCCAGCCAGCCGATCTTGTGCTCCATGTAGGGCCGCTCCACGTTGCCGATGGCGTACCAGATACAGGCCAGCCAGTGGGCGATGAGGGCGAAGGTGCACATGAGCAGGAAGAGCACGGCCGCCCCGTACTCGGAGTAGCGGTCCAGTTTACGGGCCACACGCACCAGGCGTAGCAGCCGGGCTGTCTTCAGCAGCCCGATCAGCGTGGTGGTCTGCAGATGGGACAAGTGGGGAAAGGAAATCAGCCAGCAACCAAATGGAATGCTCAGTGGAGGCGACAATTAGAACTGGGGACGAGGAGCCAGGACTCCTGGGTTCCATTCATGCCTCTGGGATACAGTGTGGTCTAGTGGTTAGAACAGGGGCTTGGGAGTCAGGATTCCTGGGTCCTCGTCCCAGCTCGGGACAGGAAGGACCATTTAGTGGTTTAGGAAAGAAGCCAAGAGTCTTTGGTTGTAGTCCTGGCTCTGAGAAGGGAGGTCTCTATTAGTGAGAGCAGACGACTGGGCGTCAGGACTCCTGGGTCCTTTCCCAGCCTTGCCACTCATTTGGCCAAGTCCCTCATCTCTCTGTGCTCAGTTCAAAGGGGATAATTCCCCTGAGGGAGGGAAGCATAATTAATGAGTGTTGGTAACGTGCTTTTGAGATCCTTGGGGCTAAGGATGTGCGAAATATCAGGACCTGGTGTTCCCGATTGAAAAGGGCAATCCCCAGCTGTGAACCGAAACGCCAATCAATTCCCGCTGAGCGGCTCCCTGGCTGATGGGGCAGGCGACAGGCCAGAGTAACAAGGCTCCTGGCCACAAAGGCCACCGTAACGAACAAGCTACAAAACTCCCATTGGAATCACAGAGGCACAACCACCCGGTCCGCACCATCCCCAGCACCTTTCACGTGGGGAAATGGAGGCAGAGGGGGCAGGGACTTGGCTGAGGCGACACCAGGATTCGGCGGCAGAGCCGGGGGACAATGCCAGCCCATGGAGAGGCTTAGGGAACCCCCCCAAACACCTGAGACTGGAGACTGATTTATCAGCCCCCCCCGGCAGTAAGCCATCCTGGCCTTCAGGACCTGCTATTTCTGGCATTATCTCTGGCTGCTGTATGACCTAGAGCAGCGTTTCTCAAACTGGGGTCCATGAACACCTGGGGGGTCCGTGAGAGTACTCCAGGGGGCCCGCCAGCCCCACTGATCAACTCCTCCCCCTCCCCCCCAGTGCTGCCTGCACGCCAGGGAACAGCTGTTCAGCGGTGTGCAGGAGGCACTGGGAGGATGAGGGAGGAGCGGGGATGGGGCGCACTTGGGGGAGGGGACGGAATCATGTCTGGGGCCGCTGGCCCCACTGATCAACTCCTCCCCCTCTCCCCCAATGCTGCCTGCACTCCACGGAACAGCTGTTGCCCGGCGTGCAGGTGGCACTGGGAGGGAAGGGGAGGATTTGAGGGAGGGAGAGGGAGGAGTTAATCAGTGGGGCCGACGGACCCCCTGGAGTACCCTCAGCTCCCCGGCGTGCAGGAGGCACTGGGGGGAGGGGGAGGAGCGGGGACGGGGTGGAAAGAGGTGGGGAAGAGGAGGGGTGGGAAGAAGTGGGGCAGGGGTGGGGCCTTGGGGGAAGGGGTGGTGTGGGGGCAGGGCCTGGGAATGAGCGGGAGGCTTGGAGGTCCTCAAAATTTTTTAAATCAAAATGGGGGTCCTCAGGTTGCTAAAGTTTGAGAACCGCTGACCTAGAGCAAGCCACTTCCCCTCCTGCCCATTGTCGGTTTCGACCAGGACAGGGACTGTCTCTTGCTATGTGTCCGTCCAGCGCTGAGGCCTGATCTCTGTTAGCGCCTCCGTGTACTACCCAAACACGAGTAAATAACAGTGAAATCGTCCCCAGGCGTTCCCTAAAACATCTTTCTAGGCTTAGAACGGCCACAGCAGATCCAGCTAGTCCAGCGGCCTCCTCGATATCTGGGGCAGATCACTGGTCTAACCCAGCATCCTGCTGTACTAAATCACAATCCCTGGTCTATCTACTCCAGTCTCCTTCCTCCTCCAGGGGGCAGGGGCCACTCCTCGATGGGGAAGCCCCCACAGTCGAACCACGCTGTGTGGACAGTGGCTTGTTACTGGGGGCTCAGTCAGAAGCACTAGGCAGCCCCCCCGGCTATTCTGAAGTGCAGCGATATTGTCGTTGGGTTATTCGCCAACAGCAATCTCAGCTCACAGCTGCTAGGCGTATACCAGGAAAAAGACGTTTCTCTGCTGCCCTTTTATCAATCTTCCCCCTCTCTCTTTATTTCTCCCCCCCTCTATCCCATCTCTCTCCTTAGCCATCTCTTCCTTGGAGGACTAAGTCTTGTTGGTATCTTCTCTTGAGTGGGTTTCTCATATGTAGGAGCTTGTCATGGTGCCTCCAGCAGGGGGTAGAGCAGGCCAGATAGAATTATAAAATATCAGGGTTGGAAGGGACCTCAGGAGGTCATCTAGTCCAACTCCCTGCTCAATCCCCAGACAGATTTTTGCCCCAGAACCCTAAGTGGCCCCCTCAAGGATTGAACTTGCAACCCTAGGTTTAGCAGGCCAATGCTCAAACCACTATCCATCTAACCACCCACCCCTTTATCCATCTATCCATGTCTCTCCCTCCCCCATCTGTAATTCCATCGTCAATATGGTGTTTGGGCACCAGAAACCCCAGGCAGACTGGTCTCTACTCTACCCTCTAAGGGCTCAGCCCAGGTCTCTGGGTTCTGCGTCGTACCACTGCTCACCTCATCAGAGCCGGAGCGGAAGATGAGCAGGTCGAAGGGGATGGCAGCCACCATGTCGATAAGGAACCAGCCCTTGAAGTAATGGATGGCGATCTTGCCAGGGTGGCTCACCACCTCGTCGTTGATGTTGACGTAGGTGGTGCGGAAGTTGATGATGATGTCCACAATGAACATGATGTCCACGATGAGGTCGATGATGTTGAGCGGGTTGCAGGAGTAGCCGCAGTTCCAGCGCTTCTCCTCCTGCTCCTCGTTGAGCAGGAAGGCGGCCGAGTAGGGCGTGAAGACGGCCGTGTAGATGACCAGCAGCAGGATCAGCCAGTCCCACACCGCCTTGAAGGGGCTGTAGTGCAGGATGGTCCATCGGTGGATCCGCGGCGCCTGCAGCTTGTACTCCGGGAGGACGTCCGCGCCCAGCGACAGGACCTGCCAGGGAGATGGGCATGGGAGGGGCACAGAGGATGCAAGAACCAGGGGGAAGGTGGGCTTAGAAGGTCCTGGAGCCCAACTTTGCCTGATGGCACCAAGTGTCCTCAACATCTCTTTGCTCTGCCCTTCCCCAATCAACCCTCCCAACTGCTCTGCCTTCAACCAGGCACCCACAGGTGTTCTTCCAATGTCACCCCCCCAAAATAAGGTGAGCTCGCTCTCTCTCCTGCCTCCAGCGTGCTGTTGCTTGTAAGAGGCCTAGGATCATTGGTCACCATTCAACAGCGGGGCGGGGGTGGGCAAGATGGGACATTACGAAACAGATTGCCACTCCATTTATCCAAGAGCTCCTGGTCCCCATTTCAAGGCAGGCAGCAATGACTGGGTAGAGGCCAGCTGGGGGCCTAAAGAGAAGCTATAAATCTGGCCTGAATTTCAGTGCAACTGCAGTAAGCACTTAATGGAATTCAGGTCAGTGATTCTCCTTTAGTTGACTCATCGGCACCGAGTTTCTAATCTGCCAGGGGGTGCTCACCCTGACTCCATCCTGGCCCCGCCCCGCTGCACCCCTTCCCCCAAGCCCCCACCCCTGCCCCGCCTCTTCCCGCCCCCGCTCCATCCCCACCCCACTTCTTCCTGCCCCCGCTTCATCCCCGCCCCCGCCCCTCCTCTGCTCCGTGCCGCCTCTTCCCGCTCCACCTCTTCCCGCCTCTGCTCTGTCCCTGCCCCACCTCTTCATGCCTCTGCTCCGTCCCCGCCCCGCCTCTTCCGCTCCACCTCTTCCTGACCCCGCCCCGCCTCTTCCCGCTCCACCTCTTCCCGCCCCCGCTCTTTCCCTGCCCCGCCTCTTCCCGCTCCACCTCTTCCCGCCCCCACTCCGCCTCTTCCCGCCCCTGCTCCGTCCCCGCCCCACCTCTTCCCACCCCATTTCACTCCCCTCTCCTGAGCGCCTCCTGCACACCGCTGAACAGCTGATTGCGGTGGGCGGGAGGAGCTGGGAGGGAGGGAGAAAGGGGGGAAGCTGATCCACGGCAAGACACTGTGTGACAAGATGGGTGTGATGAGGTAGTGGCAGCAGTAGGGCCCCACATGGGGCTGGGGAGGGAAGGAACCATCAAGGAAGGGCCAAGGGGACATATAGCGAAGTATCATGCACTGGAGCCCTGCCTTGCTCCGGAGCGCAGGAGAAAACTTCCTCTCCCTTGCTGTAGTTTCATTGAGTTTCCGGCCAGACGGGACCATTAGCTCATCTCATTTAACACAGGCCACTGCACGTCACCCCTATGGTGAGCTTACTGGCTCCAGCCCCCCTAGGGTCCATCTGACCAGGACACAGTGGGGAGATGCCAGGGGAGGTCTCGGATTCCCCAGTGGCCTGACAGAGGAGGGAGTTCATCTCCACGAAACAGAGGGATAGTTCGGGGTCTTTCCAAATCCAAGGGGAGCCGGAACCCATCTGGTTGGCACCTGCTGCCCGGAGGGCAGGGGAGGGATGTTCAGCCCTCAGGGTCCCAAACTCTAGGTGAACCAGCAGCTCTAGACTTCCTGGGCCCCAAAGGGAGAGGCCAGACGCCTGCTCTGCTCCAGTATCTTCTGCACCGCGCCCCAGCAGGATGGACGAGGGAGCCACCCAAAAGTACCGCGGAGAAAAGCCAGCCCAGCAGGGTGGCCCTTGCTCACAGGTAGAGCCAGGCAGCGCTGCACAGCGAGAGCCCTGGCCTGGCCTCCCATGAATAACACGGGGTGTCCATTTGCCTACACCCGTGGCTGAGCCAGGACGTTGCCCACAATCCAGGGTTGAGCGTAAGGCCCCGGCCTGGTTGGTGCCGGCTCTTTGCTGGCTCGTTGGCTGGAAGGTAAAGGTCCCATAGCCCAGCGAGAGGAGTCTGAGGGGACCTTCCTTTCCCTCCCCCCCCTCACTAGGTTCCTCCTGCTATTGCTGTGTTTGGGATTCGCTGCCCTCTGAGCCGCCAACCCATAATGCTTAGACACCACGATGACGGCCCAATTCTCCTGATTTGTGCCAGTGAGCGACAAGGACAAGGCCCTTAATCCTGCCAGTGCTTTGGGCCTGATGCTCCATTGCCAAGAGGGGCAACGCGCTCCCAGGGCAGGATGGGCATGTTTCACACTCGCTTGGCACTGGGGTCACTGGTGACATGACGGCAGCAGGTGGCCTGGTCCTAGGGGCGTGGCAGGAACCGAGCAACCCCAGCTATGCCTTTGCCTCTTGATCCTCCTACTCCCGCCCCACGTACTTCTGGGGGTGAGCTTTACCGGAGCATCCACTGGGCTCACTGGGTTTCCTTTTACCTGGCTGGTGTCCCTCCAGATACTGTCCACAGTCCCCTCCGTGTGCTCTCCCCTCATCGGCCCCAGCATTAACAAACCCAGCTGTCTAGGGCGAGTCCAGATCAGCGACGCCCCATTCAGATTGAGCCCCCCAACCACCATATGTGTGTCTCAGCCCCACCCTGCCACCCACTAGCCAGCCCTGCAAACCAGGGCCTCTCCACTGACCAATGGTCCTGCCCTGCATCTGCCTCCTCCAGCCAATGCCTCTCGACTGCCAGCCCCTTGCCTGCTGCCCCACCGTTAGGGTAATTCCTGCCTGTCCACGTCCCGCCCTGAAACTTAACAGCTGCTGGACCATGGCGTGGTTTGGATTCCCTGCACCCAGGCCCGGCTCCCCCCACAGGCAGCAAGATGGTGTCTCTCACACACACGGGTACATGCATGCCCAGACCCACATGCACACACGCCGGCAAAGGGCATTCAGGAGCCTGTCGCAGATTAATCAAAATCAATCAATGGCCAGGCCCCGGGTGGGGAGGAAGCCACCAATCAAGAGCCGGGAAGGCCAAAGACGTGGCTGGCACGGGAGGGAGAGGGAGTGGAAAAAGTGACCGAAATCCAATCGTTCCGAAGGGGGATGTGCGGAGGCAGCGCTGGCGGGGTCAGGGAACCGACCTCCTCGTCCCGACAGGAGCAAATCGGGGCAAGGGGAGGGGAACTGGGACCCTCCCCCCCGAGCAATGCAAAGGATGCAGGGGGCAGGATCAAGCTGCCTTTAAGCCTGGCAGCAATGCCAGGGCATGATCCAAAGTCCTTTGGAGCCAACAGGAAGCACTCCCATGGATTGTACTAGGCTTTGGATCAGAGCCCGAGTAACAATCACAGCAGAGCAGGAAGCCTGTATGATACATCCCAACCGGGCCCTGATCCTGAGCGACTCCTCACAGCCCACTCATGGCAGTAGGAGTCAGGTGGTCTCAGCCCCTCCGTGGGTCTAACCGTTGGGGGTGGCTAACACAGCTCCCCTGTCCTGCTCTGAGAGCTGCACATACGCTGCTCACGTGCCAAGTTCCGCGTGATCTTTCTCAGCCGGCTTCCGGCACACGCCACCTGCCCGAGCTCCGGCCTTTTGGTTTCAAGGCTGAAACGAACCGTTTCAACATGAATCGGCGGAGCCGGGGAAGGAGCAAGGGAGGTTGGCTTGTGGAATTAAAGAGGCTTCTCGCTTGGCTGACCCTGCCCAAAGCGGAGGGATTTGGGGACCCTTCGAACTGAGAACAAAACGTGAGAGAGAAAAAAACATCCCCCGGAATTACAGCCCAGAGCCAAGCCCCAAGTTCCAGCTAGTCTGTGTATCCGTCCAGCCTCTCCAGCGATCCTACCCAGCCAATGCATCCATCTAGGGAATGAATCCTGATCATCTACCATCTCCAGTCATTGTAGCCGAGGCACCCGTTCCTTGCCAATGCTCTATGGGATTTCTAAGGCATCTGCTGCCTTCATATCCAAGAACCACTGGGTGTGACTCATAAATCTGGAGTAACTTCTCTGACCTTAGCGGGCTCACTCCGGATTCACTCTGGAGTAACCAAGAGCAGGATTTAGCCAGTGTCTCCTGGTCGCCGGCGGGGGGAGGAGGGATTGTTTGCTTTTAGGAGCTGTGAGACCCAAACTCCCAGAACCCGCAGAACATCTGGCGGCAGAACAGGAGGGGAGAAGGATCACGTCTTTCCCCTTCGCCCCTTCAATCCTGCCTCACTGCATCAACCCAAACCCAGCAAGTCTCTGACTAGCCCGATGCACCCAGTGCAGGAGGGGATGCTGAGGGTGCAGTAAGGGGCCCCAGGGAGGGCCATGAGCTCAAGGCTGGTTCCCAGGCAGAGATTTGTACGTTCATCGCAGACGTGTGCGGCCGACCCCTCTGTGGCTTTAAAAGTCCAGGGCACAAGGGAGGCTGGGCCACTCCACGCCAGCTCCCCACCGTCCCACCCCCGGCAGGAGTTTCTGCCTCCCCAGAGAGCAGGGCTGGCTAGGTCAAGTGGGAGTTGTTTCCTGGGGAAAGGACGGCTTCCCCCCCCCCGCCCCCAAAGAAAAGAGACAATGTGTCCTGGCTCCCCCCTGGGGTTTAATTCTCTCTAGGGACAAACGCCCCCTGGAGCTGCTCTCCCCATGGCAATAGCAGCCTCCCCCTATCTCAGCCTTGCCCGTCCCCCCATCCCATCCGTTCGTCTCACTGCTTACCGGCTTCAGCTTCAGTTTCAGGCTCATGGTGTGCTGGAAGTAAGGCTGTGTGTGAGCAGGGAGCGAGGCACAGGCGGGGAGAGGATCCGTGTTCCCCAGCACAGACCTCTGGTGCTTACATCACTGCCCAGGGCAGAGCTGTGACCACACGCGACCCAGCCTCCGCCCCACGCCGGCCCCACTACCAGTGTCTGCTGCCTGCCAGACAGTGCGGCTTCAACCTGCTAGACACGGCACTTACCACCCTGCCTGGCGCCTCTACGCGGGAACTCAGACCCTCCCCTGCACACACGGCGGCTGCCTGGGGCTTGGGGTCAACGCTGCCCTGGTCTCCCTCCGGCCCCTTCGGGGCAGACTCCTGTCTGCCGCACTCAGTGCGCTGAAAGGGAGCGGGGGGAACTGACATGCTGCGGTGCCACTCAGAGCCCCACACAGTTTAGCTGATGGTCCTCAGGCCTGGC